TGATCGTCTAGCTGGTGTGGACGGGTAGGGGTCACCTGCTCCCAGTGGCATCTGAGACAGACTTTCAGACAACCGCAGTCTGCTCCCTGTCTGCACCCCCTCTTCAGAGGCCTTGGTGCCTCCAGCTGCAGAGCCGCCCTGGGTCCCACGGTGCACACCAGTTTCCTTTGGATGCCCGCCCTGTTGGCCTGGGCTCTGCTTCCTTAGCCTCTAGCCGTTCCCGCCCCCTCCTGCCTTCTGACTTCCAAAATCTCAAAGGCCACAGTCCACGTCCTGTTCTCTCTGCCTCCGTGGGTTTCTGTTTCATCCTTTTAACTGACACTTCAGCAGGCTGATGGGTGTGAGGGGTGTTCAGTCTACGATGTTTAACACGGTTCTCTGGGCTCCTACACAGAACCCAGTATGTAGTCCAAATAGGCTACACTCTGCGAGTGCTTCCCAAGGACGGAGTCAGTGCCAGGTCTGTGCTGGACCCTGGGGACATGGCTGCGAGTGAACGATGGTCCCTGTGCTCCTGTCAGTGTCAGCACCAGGGGCCAGTGCTGCAGCGGGAGCAAGGGCTGAGGGTGGGAGGAGGGGAGGCCAGACTCACTCAGGAGTCTCTTGGGGAAACGGGGTGGGGAAGTGGCTCCAGGCGGGGAAGCGCATGAGCAGCGGCCAGGAAACACCCACCAGAACACTGCCTGCGGGACCCGGAGCGTGCAGGTGGCCAGGGAGTCCAGGACATGGTGGGCTCGGGGGACACGATGTCTGCGCTCAGATCCTGGCCCCAGCACTGACAGGTGTGGCCCTGGGTGAGTCACTTTCCTCTCTGTGCCTCAGTTTCCTTATTGATAAACTGGGAGGACTCGCAGCACCCTCTCAGAGGGTGACTGTGGATGAAGGAGAGGATGCCCAGAGCTAGGCACAGTGCCTGTGTGGGCCACAGCTCAGGAGCGTCCCCTGCTGATGCTAATAATGATGCGGCGCGTGGAGGGACAGGTGGGCCATCACCGAGGGGCCCCGTGCCAGGACGAGGCCTCGCTGTAAAATCCCGGTAGGTGTCGGAGCCTCAGAACTCGCAGGACCGGGGAGAAGTGAGAGCCCGACAGACCCAGGGGTGGGGCAGGCAGAGCCTAAGCAGCATCTCGTGCAGCCCACCCGGGTACCTGGACGCCCCCTCTGGGGCCTGTCGCAGCTACAGGCCTAGGGTCTGGCACGCAGCAGGGGCCCCGGCCACATGTGGACCTGGCCGGAGCAGGTCTGGCCACCCCCGCCCGGAGGCCTGCTCCCCACTGCCCCTCGCGCTCTGCATCTTGCCCTCCAGGAGCCCTGCCCGCCCCCTTGGCCACCATTTGGCTGCTGCTCCTCTGTGATCAGAATGCGGGTATTCAGGGACACTGGGTCCTAAGGCTGCCATGACAAATGACCACAAACTTAGTGACCTGAAAGAACACATATTTATTCCCTTACAGCCTATGGGCTGGAAGTCCCACATGGGTCTCATTCACTGGGACACACAAGGCGTTGGCAGCTGAGCTCCTTCTGGCGGCGCCGGGGGAACCGTTCCCTTGTTTCCCGCTTGCAGAGGCCCTGAACTCCTCGGCTCTCGGCCTCGCCCTCCATCTGCAAAGCCAGCAGTGGCCGGTCAGGTCCCCACATCCCCACATCACGTCTCTCTGATCCTTTTTCCTTTGTGCCATCTCCCTCCAAATACAGCCAGGAATGGCTCTCCACAGTCAAGTACTCATGTGACTAGGTGGGTCCCACCCGGAGAGTCGGGGTACTCTGTCTCCCCGTGTCTAGTCCACAGTTCCATGACACGTGCAAACCCCAGGGCTGTTCTCCACCGGCGCTGCTGCAGCTGGCTTTGGTGGGGCTCAGGCCACAGTATCTATCACGGTCCCAAGCATCTGCCATGTGCTTGGAGCTTTTGCATAAATTAAATTAACCTCTCTGAGCCTCAGTTTCTCCGTAGGTGGAATAGGTATAATAATAGTACTACCCCCGCGTCCTGCAGAAAAGACAACATGAAGCCTGGACGAGGCGGTGCTTTCCACGCACATGCCTTGTTACCTCCAGCACGGTGGCGCTGTGGTCCAGCCAAGTGGGTTTCGTGACGTCGTTAGTCACCCTGTGACTCGGAGCAGTGGTGGACCCTCTCTGGCGTCTGGAGAATCGGGGCCTGTGTCCCCTCCCAGACCTCTTGGGACCTCAGGCATGACGTGGTGGTGCTGCTGGGTGGGGACACTGGATTAGGTGTGAGCTGGCCCAAGGTGGAAACGCCCCACTTCTGAGTAGTCCTACCTGTGTGATCTTGAGCTATTTCTCTACCCTCTCTGAACCTCGGCATCCTCATCGGGGCCACGCTCCCGTGGACAGTGTGAGTGTTGGGAAATCACAGGGACTCTCACACCGTGTCAAAGCAACACAGCTCTTGCTTGCTGAGTGTTGTGTGCCAGGTGCTGTGCTTGGCGTGTGCATCTGCCACTCCCTGCACCCCAAACCTGGCAGTGGGAGGGACCATCAGTTCCACTTCTTCAGGCAAGAGTTCAGAGCTCAGAAAGGCTGTGAGTTGCACCAGGAGCTACAGGCAGCAAAGCCTAGATGTGAGCCCCGCTTCTCAGTGACAAAGGCCATGTGCGTCCCCATGCACCCCGCTGCCTCCGAGGGCGCCACCTCCCTGAACACAAACAGCATTCGGAGCCTCACTGTAGATGTAACATTTGTTATTTTATTGGAAAAAGCTGGTATTAACATATTTATAGTTTTATTCAACAGTTGAATAACTTGTGAGACACCAAAGAAAAAAGAATGCACCTAGGAGGGAACCATCGGCTCTGACAACTTTACCGCCACGCCCCCTACCGCCACCACCGACAGCATCATCCTCGTCATCCTCGCGGTAAGCTAAGTTAAAACAGAAACGAGAAAACCCCAACAAGCTCACAATGACTGTGTGAATGCCCGCACATTCAAGAAGACCAGAAAGTTTAAGCAGAGCACGGACGCAGAGCCTGCGACCACATCCTGGCCCTTCCGCGGTTCCAGTCCTGCCCTCCCTGCTACACCTTTTCTCGACACACGTTTTGCTATTCACAGCTTGCTTTGGACGCCGTTATTTTCCAGGAGTCCAAAGTCCAAAGACATACTTTTCTTCAGAGAAGATCTCTTCCTTTCTTTCTTTTCATTTCCCTTTTTGGTTTGGTACCCAAAGTTTAAAACTGAAGTAAGGAACTAGGAACTCCTTTTGAAGACCGTGTGAGCTTTGTACTTTGAAGATGATAAATGTTAAAGCTACAATTTGACAGTAACCTCTAGCTGCAAATGCAGGTTTCCTCTCTTAACAAATTTGACTCACAAAGAGAGACCGTGCCAAATATCCAAGAAATTGTGTAAGGCCCTCAGAGCTGGATTTTGGCTTCAACAGATTTCTATACAGTTTACCACATTCTTGAACCTCTTTACAAGGGGGAAAAAGTGATCCAATCCTTTGATTGTTAAATTTAATTAGAATAGATATGTACATATAATACTGTCCAGGTCACCTGGATTTTACAGTGACATATAAACATTCTTCATTCATGTTGATTAAAAAAAAAAATGGATCCACTTCCCTGTGTGAGTGTTGTATGGCCAGAAGTGAGTGCACATGCGTTTTGTGCTTTTACACACACAAAGTATACTGTAATCCACTGAGAAAATTCTCAGTTGGGTCTATTTCCTGGGTTATGTTTCATCTTGTAAAAAAAAAAAAATAAAATAAGCTGGATTCGGCCGGGCCTCCGCACTCTGCTTTCCAAATCAAAGTGCCAAGCCAGGTGGTTCTGCCGCGATTCCACGAGCAAAGACGACACGGGGTGGGCGGCCTGGTCTTACCAGGACAAGAAGATCTACTGTGGAAATACCACATTCTCTGCGGCCCTCGGTGTCAGAGGGGAGAGCTCCCACACGACGACATCCTCTGGGACTACGTGGTCCTTAAAGAAAACGTATCCTAAAATCATCACAACATGCAATTTCCTCTCGGGGGCAGTTCAGTGCATCTGAGAAAGGAGCGCCAGGTGCAGACACAGGGTGAAGCCAGGAGTCCCAGAGAGGGCTGAGCTCCTGAGGTCACCAAGCTGAGAGAGGAGCCACCTGGGGGTCTTCTCCATCTTCCCATTCTCCCAGGACCCTTGCACTTCACAAGACAAAGAAACGTTTCCCTTCCAGAACCCTCCATTATAATGTTGCTTTAATATGAGCCACCAACGTGCTGGATTGGGAAGAGCCTTGTGTGAAGACCTGGGCAGGACTCCAGACTCCAGGCTGGTGCCTGCCCACCAACTTGTCTGTCCACTCAGAGCCTTGGTTTCCGCACACGGACAGGGGGATAAGAATTGTTCACCTCTTACCCCGGCGCTCGCCCAGAGCCCGGCAGGAGCGAGCAGTTGGTGTGTATGGAGATGCGTGGACACCCATCACACGGTCGTGAGAGGGCTTCGCAGAGGTCGTGGACGGGAGCCAGGGTCAGCTCCCGGAAGGTGCCCAGTGAGCGCCGAGGATGGCGGGCGAGCTCCTGCAGAGAGCATCAGGGATGGAGTGAACCCGCTCTAGGCTGAGCCCCGCCCGGCACCTGGCAGAGGCTCAGCGAACAGTGGTGAAACCAGGTGAGGACCACAGCCACGCTGGCCGAGCCATTCCCTACCCCTTCCTCTCAGGAAACTGTACCAGACCTGGGCCCTGGGACGTTGAAAGACATTCAGAAACCTAAGCGAGAAGCCTGCATCCCCTCTGCAACTTCTCAGCGTGAATTCTCCATCCAAAAAACAAAGGTGACGAAATCCACTCAGAGACAGGGCGAATAGCTCCATTTATAATCCAAAGAACCCCTGGCTGGCTGAGCTTCCTTATCCGTCCCCGGAGCCCTGATCTGGGACCAGCGAGGCGTGCGGGGGAAGCGACTCCAGCAGCTCCACACCCACCCTGCAACCCCGCCGCGCAAGGACGGCCGGAGTGAAAAATTAACCAGGGCACGTAAAAATCCCGCTCATGTGGGAAAGACCGCAGACCGAGTTGGAGGGCACGTGAATGAAGGAACCCTGAACTGTGAGCCTCGACAGTCCATTTTATGATTCGTGGCCGTGGACCCTTCCTTTCCTTTTTGCTAAACAATCACTGCCAAAGGCAATGCTGGCCCAGAGAAGCTGGCCAGGGCCAGGGCCCAAGCTTCCCATGCCTGCACACTGCCACCTCTGCCACTGTCCTTACTGCCACTGGATTTTCTTCCCCTCCTCGTGTTGTGGTTGTGAAGGTTGTGTCGGGACAAGTGCACAAGGCTGACGCTGGGGCCGGGGCCTCTGCACACCTAGTGCATGTCGGAGTTCACCTTGTCCTGGAAGATGTACAGGTTGTTGGTGGCCGCGATGGCGATGATGTTCTCGGTCGGGTGCCAGGCCGTGTGCAGGATCTTCTTGGTGAAGTCCAAGCTGTCCACGCTGATGTCATCGCGCCGGCGCTTGCCACCCACACACACGCGCCGTGGCTTGAGCACAGCCCGGGGCTTGCTGCTCTCCCGAGAGGCCTCCAGGGTCACGTCCCGCTTGGTGTTGCGGTCGAACATGCGGAAGAAGTTGTTGTAGGCTCCTGTCATGATGACGCTGGCGGGAGAAGGAGAGGCATCAGGCAGGAGGACCAAGAAAGCGAGACACCTGTCTCTTCTCAGGAAACAACCCCAGAGCCCGCAGGGCCGTCGTTCCCTGGAAAGGGAGCCCACACCTGCCTCGGTTGCCCCTTCCTCTCAGTCTTTTGTGTCCCTCACCTTCCAGCTGCCATCACCACACAGATTTGGGGGCCAGGAGCTAAGACCCCTTTAGTGCTCTGCCTCTAATAAAATCATAAAAAGACCCTCTTGTACTTCCCTGTTAGCCCAGGAGAGATGGCCCTAGGCTTTCAAAGAGACTGCGCAACCTCAGAGGGAAGGAAACACAGAAGTCGCTGGGACAGAAGCTCCGGGGCAGACAAAGGGCAGGCCTTGGCGTCAGCAGGACCCATCCTTCCCTCCAGGAACTCAGGACTCGCCTGTCCCCTGAACAGACGAGTGGATGCGCATGACCCGCGGGAGAGGGAGACACCGCTCCCGTGCAGGTGTTCGCAGACCTCCCGTCCCACTGAGGGTCTCCCACTTGTCCCTGCGCCGCCTCTCACTCCTCTCCTGAGGAGAAAGGGTAAGCGAATGTGCATCACAAGGGTGGGGGAGGACGTGCAGCCACGTGGCCTGCGCCCGGAGGGTCTTGGGGTGTGACCCCCGTGAGGCCCTGAGCAGCTGTGGGGTGCAAGGCAGCTGGGGGGGCTGAAGAAGAGGGGTCCAGAAAGCAAAAATGAAGGTTAAGAAGTGGTTCTGTTTAAGGTCCTTCACGGAGGTCCCCAGAAAGCGGAAATCCTTTTTTTCCTTTTGGAGCCGAGCTGTGCTTCTTGAGGGTGACACTGCTCGAGGCAGGACCACGTGGATCCCCAGGTTGACAAGGGTTATGCACAGATGAGGGTCACTGCTGGCGAGGCTTCGGCGCCGCCCAAGTGACACAGGAGCCACACCGCACAGAGGAGGAGGAGGGGAAAGCAGGCCGTGGCCCCCTGGACAGGACAGTAGAGGGCGTCTTATCAGGCATCTGGGCCCACAGGGGTCAGATGCTCCAGGACCAGCTCAGGGGACCCTGCAGGATGCCCTGTCACAGGCTGAAGGGGACACATCCCCTTGTAACGATGTTTCCTTTTAAAATTGACACATAATAATTATACGTATTCATGGGCACATGAGATATTTTGACACGTGGCACGTGATGTGCAATATCAAATCAGGGTATGTAGGACACCCATCACCTCGAACATTCATCATTTGTGTTGGGAACATTTCAAATCTCTTCTAGCCATTTTGAAATATACACAACATTAGAGTTCACTGTAGCCCCTGCCGTGCCATGGAGCGCGGAGCTTACTGCTCCCCTAGCTGCATGTTTGTGTCATCAGCCAGCGCTTCCTCCCTGTGGGGGAAGTGACGTCTGGAGAGCAGGGTACCCGACGCCCCGCCTATGACGTCTCTCGGGGGAGGTCGGCCTCCCGGGAGTGTGAGGATGGCAGGCTATCGAGAAGGTGCCCCCTCATCTTGCCTGTGGGCCGGTTCTTCCCATCTGCCCTCTGGACGGTGGCGTGCCGGGGAAAGGCCCCTCTGCCGTCCGGCTCACGGAGCTGCTCCGGAAGGGCCGTCTCCCCGGCGGAGGGCAGAGGGCGGGGTGACGGCCAACGATCTCCTAAGGCTGAAGGCACAGCACCGTGAAAAGAAAGGGACCCTGCCCAATCCCCCTGCTCCCTGGCAGGTCTGTGCTCGGAGTTCTGGCCTGCTCACTTCCTTACGGAGGGAACCTTCTCCTCAGCTCAGGGACCGGCAAATTTTGGCCGAGAGTCCCTTGAGGTGATTTGAGGGTTTCAGCTTGGCCCAGAGTGGCTCTGGTGGCTTCCTACCCGCCCCGTGTGGTTCCTGGAGCCCAGGGTCTGCAACGCTGGCCCCTCTGCGAGGGAGGACGGGGGGTGCCAACAGGCAGACACCTTCCATCAGGGGCTCTTAGGCGGCGTCTGAGGCACCCAGGCTCACCTAGGCAGGGGAGTCCATCAGGGCCCGCAGGGCAGGGAGCGCACACCGGCGGCGGGCTGAAGAGCTCCATGAAAAGGCTACTTACCAAAGTTCTGGAAGGTTCTAAGGGAACCACAAGGGAAAGAGCAATGCCCTGGGGCTGGTAAGTTTGGGGATTCTGTCACCTGCCAACCCCAGGCCTGAGGGGTGAGGGGAAGGAGGCGTCCCCAGAGAGAGACAGAGACAGAGGGAGACACGGGAAGAAAGACAGAGATAGAGAGAGACTGAGGGTCAGAGAGAGGTGGGGAGAGAAAGCGGGGAGACATCTGTGTGAAGAGGCGCCTGTCGGGAGCTGCTACCAAAGGCCGCAGTCAGCCCGCGTCAGCAGAGTGAGGAACGAGCGCCTGGCCTCCCTCCTCGCACCCCAGCTCCTTTGCAGCCCCCACTGGGTGGGCCCAGCCAGAAGCCGCGGGGGCGTGAGGCCACAGACGCAGCCCTCGTGGGAAGAGTGTACAGGAGGCAGGAGATGCCACCACTGTGGCTGTTCCCACACAGGGCTCACCAAGCCTGAGCCCCCACCGCGGGGGGCAGGCGTCTGGCGGGGCGTGTCGCATCTCTGTGTCCCCCATGCCTGGCTCGGCCTCCAACGGGCCCGATGCTCTGTGAGTGGACTAGGACCCCCAGCAGCAGCCGCACAGACCCGAACCCGGGCAGAGCCACCGGCCAGGCCAGGGCTGCTCCTGGCTCACGGAACGTCGCAATAGATGGTTTTGAAATGGGTCGACTGCAGGGTGGAGCCTCCTCTCACTCACTGCTGGACCTGCAGGTTCAGAGGAGCCTGTTCCCAGCAGGTGCTCACTAGGTGCAGGAGTAATGAGTGAGGGGACAGGTGCCGTGGGAGGGTCACACACAGCCACCCCGACATCTCAGCGAGGCACAAGATGAGCTTGTGCAGCCACTCCTGTGCACGCTGACGTGAGGCGGACCAGAGACAGGAGTCGGGGACTTCTCTGAAGCCACCCAGGAGAGCGGTGGCGGCGGCCCTCAGGGGTCAATCCGATGGTTCTGCCTTCTGAAGAGATTTGTCTAATCCCTGGAGGTGAAGGGAGGGTGGGTGGAGAATTCAAAGGTACTTTCTGGCTCTATTCTTTTCTGTTCTAAAATTCCGCCTCTAAAACCTTAATTCCTGTGAACAGATCTGTTTGCTGCAGAGACAGTTAAGTGACAGGTGGGGAGACACCCACGGCCGGCCGAGCCTGGCCTGGCGGGTGCTCAGGAGCAGGGGGAGGGGGAGAGCGCCCTCCTGCGTCCTGCCTTCCCACTCGGCCCTGTGGAGCCCTCTCCTGTCCTTGGAAGTTGGCTCATCCTGGGGCAGGCTGGGGTTGGGTCTAATGCCACCTACGTTATGACCTGGGGACCTCACTACAACGTGACCCCCGGCACAGAAGCAGGGATGGGCTGAGCCCACAAACGCCCCAGAACCAGCACTCTGGCATCTTGAAGTCATTGTCCCAGGGAGGACCCAGGGAGGACCCAGGGATGAGCCCAAATCCAGTCTCACGGGCGCGTCCCCAGGGCTGGTGTGCACCCAGCGGCTGCCACCCGGGCTCGTGTGACTCTTGCCAGGTCGAGCGCCCTACACCTTTATCGGCAGCTCGGGACCAAGGCCAGGCCTCGAAAAGGAAGGAGCCTGCAGCAAACACGGAAGCACGAGAGCTGTTCTCATGGCAGAACGACACGACCCAGCACGAGGGCGCCTGCATCCTGTTCAGAGCCCACTGGACCGACGGCACCATCCTGGCAGCTGCCAGTGCGCTCGCCCCGTACGAGGCTCTGTAAGAGGAAAGAGCTGCGGGCTGGTACTGCTGCTGGTGCCCAGGCCGCCCCGTGTCCCACAGCGTCCCAGGGCTGGGCAAGGCGGAGCCGGGGGAGCAGAGGCTGCAGGCTCAGGGCTCCTCGGGTCAGCCCTGCAATCTGGAGTGGACATTGGACACATGTGGCCCAGCGCTGTGTGTGTTCACGTGGATCTGACACGCCTGCAGGGAGGCGGGCAGGGCAGGAAGCTGAGGCTCGGAGGGTTAAACAATATGCCCCCGGTCAGGACCCAGAGACCACGAGAGGCCTTCAGGCCTCCCCGTTCCTGTGCTCAAGGTAACGGGAGGCACGACCCCGGGAGGAAACGGGTCCATGGGCGCAGACCCAGGCAGGCGGCAGCAGACGCCCGCGCAGCCCAGGCATCTCCCCGAGCTGAGTGACGAGAGAGGAGGGGGAGGTGGGGGAGGGGGACAGGGGCTCAGGGTGCTCTTGCGGTTCATTGGGTGAGGTGCACAGGAGAGGCCGAAGCAGCGTGTGTGAGAATGGACAGAGAATGAGAGCGGCAAAGAGACAGGGAGATAGAGGCAGAGAGGGACGAGGATGAGAGGGGACAGTGAGAGACAGATGGAGAGAGCTGGAGAGGGGGAGGGGGAGTGTGCGGGGGCGGGGGCGGGCCGCAGGGAAGGTCCGACCAGCAGCTGCCTGGGATAGGCACGCGGTTGGGGCCCCCGGCCTTAGGGAGTCCCCTCCCACCCTGGTGCCTTGCCTGCACCCTGGGGTCCTGAAGACAGGAGAGGAAGGTGAGAGGGTGGTGCAGGGGGGCCAGGCTGGGGACTCACAGTTCGATGGAGGGGTGTTGCCAGTGTCCCCAGTCTGCAGACGGGCGCAGGTGGGGCTGACTTCCTGCGATCCCACAGCCTGTGGGTAGGGAGCCAAGGCAGAAAGCCCCGGAAACCTGCCCCTGTCTTCCCAGGGTACAAGCGCCTTCCTGCTTGGCCACGTCTCAGCCATTTAGAAGGAACCCTAAGTGGCATCGTTTGTTTCCTGGGACAGGGTTCCTGTTTCCTCTAAGGCTCGAGGCTCTCGTGGGCAATGATGTGGGGTACAGAGTGCAGGGAGCTCCACCCCGAGGTATGACGGCCCTCCTCCTGTCCAGCCCTTCCCTGCACCCTCTCTGTCCACACTGCCACCATCTCGCCTGCTCACTGGCCTCCCTAC